CTTCTCCATTGGCTGGGAATGGTGAATCGCAGCCACAGTGAGCTGCGGGGGGCTGTGCCTGTGGAGGATCAACATAAACAAAATATCTCGTGGCCCACCAGCGAATTACCCTGGTGGGCCGCATGCTGAAGGTTGCTGACCACTGCTCTACTTTTTTAAAATAGCACAGTTGTTAATGGAGCAGATCCTCAGCTGTTATCAGTCAGAGTAGTTCCTTTGAAGCCAATAGAGCTATGTCAGTTTACTCCAGATGAGAATCTGTGTGTGTAAACTGACTACTAGACATAGGTAACTTTTTCCCTAGTAGCTTTTTCAGCTCACATCATCATTAACATTTAAATTGCTTGACATGATGAACTGAGGGAATTATTTTGCAGAATTTCCCTTTTTAACAATGTCTTCATATACTATTCAAGAAGCTGCTTAAGGGTTTACACAACAATTGAACTCAGTGTGTTCTGAAAATCTTCAAATCCATTTGTTAGTCATTCTGGTAGTCTTGGTTAAATACTTTGTCAGGCAATTTGAAAATGTTTATAGGGTGTTTTAAAGACATGAAGTTATGGGTTTCCATTATTTTTAAGCTAATGTTTGCTATACTTATGCATATTAAAAGGGCACACAGATAGATTAACTGAAAAGAGATGAATTTGGGTTTACGTCAGTTACTATAATTAATACTTTAGGGAAGTAAGTCCTTACAAGCTGAGTTTGGGGAGCATCATGCTACTTATCGTTTATCCCCAATGCCTTTATCAGAAGGACCCCATATTCTTGTTCAACACTAGTTGAGCAATAAAGTGCTGAGGAGAACCTGGGAGATGTTTCTACCAAACCAGTCTGTTTTTTGGAAACATCTGCTACAGTGCAGTTCTGCCCTGTTCACCTTGACCAACAGTCCCATGCTGGCCCTTGATTACACATTATTGCCTCCCAGGGGAATCTGGTGTCAGGTCATCTGTGCCTACATTGTATATCTTGCATGAGACACGTAACCTGGCACATCTTCCCTGGTGATCCAGAGTGTTTCCCTGTGGAATCCCTGCTAGGATACCCCTCCCCCGTTGCCTGGATTTTGCCAGCCATTTGCATCTGAACCCATGAGCCCAGAAAGTAACATTTTCAGAATCACTTAAAAGTGGCTTGGAGTGAAACCCGAGACTTAGCCTCCTAAGATCTCAAGTCACTTTTGAAAATAGGACTGAATCTCCTAAATCACTTAAAAGTCTTTCAAAAATTTTACCCCTGACCAATATCAGTAATGTCAGAGTGGTAACAATTCTGGAAAATACTGGGAAGGAAGTGTGAGGTATGAGTCAAAAGTATATGGAGGAAGGGCCCAAGCAGTACCTTGTAAGAGCCTCATCTGTAAGCCTGTGGTGACTGTTGTAGCAGCATAAATGGAAGAGTGCTTTTCATTCTCACCACAAGAGAGGAGGTCCTGCAGAGAATGTTCAAGAGCAGGTAAAGCCTAGTCAGTGGAGCAATAGAGTTCTAAACACAAGTTTCATTCTGGCTCTTCCTCATGCTGTCTTTGGGCAATTGCCCTCCCATGATCTGTGCTTGCCCACGAAGTAGTCTGTCCATGGGCAGATCCATCACACAGTCCAATCTGAATTAGAGCGAATCTCAGTGCCATTTTCCTGGCTACGCTTGGGCCAGCATGCCTACCTCATACACTGTATGCAGTGTAGTTGTAGGCATGTTGGTCCCAGAATATTAGAGAGGTAAGTTGGGTGAGGTAGTATCTTTTATAGGACCAATTTCTATTGGTGAGAGAAACAGGCATATTCACAATGCGATTATTCTATATCTGGCCTATCAGTCTTCATCCTCAAAAGAAACCGGTACAACACTTTCAATAGACAAGCCTGGGAGCTTAAAGTCATAACTTTGCTAGACACTAAAAATCATGGACCAAACAGAGATGCTTGATTTATGGCTTATTACAACAATCTGTAACCCACTACACCTCCCTTTTGTTCTATGACTGCAGAGGTGACCGTGGGCCAGGCCCTTAGAATATGTGCTAACTACTTATGCTAAACAATCTGTTCCATTTTGCATTTAGCTGTGATACTTGGAGTACCTTTCCCAGCCCTGAAGAAGAGCTCTGTGTGGCTCGAAAGCTTGTCTCTTTCATGTGAATCATCAACTGAAGTTGATCCAATAAAAGATACTACCTCACATATCTTGTCTTCCCCATATGCTGTCAAGAGTGTTTGTTAATGCCAGAGGTTGCTGAATCTTTATACCTGTCTTAAGACTTTCTCATCTACCTACCCTTTTAGCACTCTAAGCATGAGACTTAAGAATAAATTAAACAATGTTTTTAAAAAATGGAACTAATAGAATGTTTGCAAATCATCATATTGTTCATTTTGCTTGTATGTTAGATGTTTTTATGTCTGCTTTTACACATTCACACTCAGTCCTCCTTCTACGTTACCTGTTTACTCCGTAAGCTCTGCTAGGCAGGGACTGTTTCTGTGCTGTACTGTGCCTAGAACAGTGGGGATCCAGTCTTATTTGGGTCCTGTAGGCACTATGGTAGTTCATCTATTCCCACAGCTAACCAGCGCTGCCAAGGAGTAGGGAGCACTGTGGTACTACTTGTATGGTTGCTGAAGGCTCTAGTGATACAGCCACTTTCTGCAGTTGCATTTCAAAATGCCTAGAAACAGGTATCCCATAGAAACAGTGTTGACCATCATGGGTGAAGGGAGGGGACAAGAGAACTAGGTTCTCCATCATAGCATGACAGCCCTTTATGAGTAGGCAAATGTGGCAGGCTGGTCAGTCTGAAATGTCACTGCTGTTTCCCATACCTTGACCCCTGTAAAGTTACTGGGCTACTGTTTCCCTTTATCCTTCCTCACACACCTGGCAAAACAGCTGGAGGGCTGACCTGAATTAGGAAAAATAGAAGAAATTCATACACACAGACTACAAAATGTAATAATAAAAGTCTGATTTAGATTATTGGAAAATCAGCATTATGCCATAATGCTATTGTTAATTTAGCTTTGAATCAGGGAGGTCTTAGAAAATGGGGGGAATTTACAACATATCAGTGTGGAGTGTGCTAAGCACAGAGTTGTTCAGCCATAACTTTGAACTGCATTGTTTTTATTAGCTAAAACTAGGTTTTAATATTCTGTGACTTTTTCATGTGAACGAACATGCTACCATAACATTTGGTTTGTTTACTCATTGCTGAAAGTTTATGTTCAAAAGTGATATATGCTTATTTATTTCAACTTAAAAACTTGTCATCTTGTCCTCAGGCTATGACCCATGTAACATTTGAACCCAAACTCTGCAATAGTGATTAAGGAGAATTTATATTTTGTGTCCATTAATTCTGATTTTTATCAGGACCTCATTGTAATCTGGGTTTTTTTCATAATATTCTTAAGCAGGGTTTGATACCTCCATAACTGGGATAGGCCTCCCCGTGATGAGAATAATTCTAGTTGTCACATAGCATCAATGGAAAAGAATGCTGGAAAGCACATTTGGAAGACTATTTGACAGAATATTATCTTTATGAAAAAATTCACAACCTTAAACTTTCTTTATTATACGGTTATGTGCAAAATGTGGTTCTTTGAAGTACATCCCTAGCTTGTTTTATATTTATTCAACTATTCTCTAATGATCACCGTGCACAAGTTTGTTTCATATATCTAAGTTAACGTGCTATTATGCTGTACGCCTTTGGTAATTACCTTGCTGTTCAGCGTTTGCATGCTGGTTCTTGGATCTTTTTTCCACCATTTATAGTTGTTTTCTTACAGATATGGATATTGTCAGTGTAGCTAACTCTAATTAATTTCTCCACATTAGTTTTGTCAATATTTTCCCCTGATATCAAGCATTGGCTGTAGTCCTATGGAAATTAAATTCAAGTAAAACGATGTTATTAATTAGTACAATGGGTCATATGTACTCTTTAAGTGATGCTCCTTTCTCTAATTCCCAATGATAGCATTGCTTTAACTTTTTCTTTGAGCATGAAGTCTTAGTATGCATCCAATCTTTCTTTTGATAATCAGTTTACTTGTGAGACTGAGTAAGCTACTGGTTTGGAAAGATATAGAAATGGTGATAAACCCTTTTATCATCTCAACTTGACTACAATATCTTACTGATACTGTACTCTCAGAGGTCTAAATCTGGTGGCTTCACCTGAATTGGAATGCATCATTTCATGTTCTACTTTGGGTGGTTGTTGGACAGCGTATAGTTTCTTGTCTTAGTTCACCATTGAAATGACAGACTTATGATATGGAATGAGAGACTTACGGTATAGAGTTCAGTATTATACAACTTTAAAACTCCCAATAACAAAGATAGGCATTAGGATCTGGGCTAATGTAAAGGGGTAAGGCCTGGATTGTAGCCACAAAGCATAGAGAACCCAAACTGGCATCACATCTTTATGATATTTATGGTACAATATGGTGATGTAATCATTCCCATTATATCAGCCAAGAGGAACACATTCTCCAGAATGGCAGATAAGTCTTCTTAAATCAGCTTTCCTCATGCAACTCTCACTCTGGAGCCAAACTTATGGAGTATGGGCTCCCTCAGGTTACCTCTACAGCTGTGTCTGCTGAACCTGAACTTGCGCTACTCAGGTTAAGTTCAAGCCAAGTCAAAGAGATCTGATTCAGGCTGGCTAGAATGTATGTCCCGCCAAGCTGCTCAGCCAGCCTTACACATCTGATTTTATCTGTCTTAATTCCCATAGTTGGGTACTGTGTCTTGAGTTCAACAGAGTCCGCTTCTGTTGGAGATTTAAAAACAGAATAAATTCCTCTGCTTAATTTAGACTAAAGATGTGTATGCTCAGTACTGCTTTAAATGGTGAAAACCAGTTGGAGTCTGCTTTATGTAGAGCTTTTCTATATTTGTTTATCATATTATGATGATGAAGATACTGGTGGTTTGTATTTCAAGAAAAAATGATTTTTTTTCATTTTTTATTTCAGTGCACCAATGCCGTATCTAATTGGAGTCCACTTAAGCTTAATAGAGGTGAGTAATTTTCAAACTAACCTTTATATTTCATATATGTGTGTGAGAATGGAAAAGATTACAGGGGGCATTATTTTTCTCCTCATGGAGAAAGGATTGGTGAGCATTTTGTCAATTGTTTTATTAAGAACATACATATTATAGAGAATAATTTTAATGAAGTTCCTTAGAGAATGATTACCAGTTTAATTAGCATAATGAAATGACTGACTTCAAACACTGGAAGCAGCATGGAAGTAGAAATGTCCTTGGTAAAAGTTGTGTTTTCAAATGTGCTATGTGGATATTCAGGGCTTGCATTATGTGCTTTTGCTTATACTTAGTTTAACTATCTTTGTATGAATTTTCTTGTGCATTATGTTAGGTGTATTTGACCTCCTGTGTAAAATAGAGTATACCTGCTTTACTAGTCTTTAGTGGAAAGTCAACTTAATTAACATATGTCTACACTGTCTAAAACACCCACGGCTGGCCAGTGTCAGCTGACTCAGGCTTGCGGGACTCGGGCTGCAGAGCTATAAATTTGTAGTGTAGACATTTTGGCCGTAGCCTGGGCTCTGGGGCCCTCCCCCCTCATGGAGTCCCTGCCCATGAACCTGGACTCTAGCCCAAATCTGAATGTCTATGCTGCAATTTTATAGCCCTGCAAACCAAGTCAGATCACATAGGCCAGCCACAAATATTTTGTTGCAGTGTAGACATACCCTCAGGCTACAATTTAATAGAATGAGAAAGAAAGGTTGAAGAAACTGCTGCTTTTCATCTCCTTGTATACAGTTGTCATCCCATAAACTATTATGGAATCTCTAACCTTTAAAAAACTTAGAAAAACTGGTTCACTAGTGCTGTAGACATTGCAAATGTGCCTGAATGCTTAAGATTTTTCTGATAACAAAAATAATGATAATAGTAAATTAGACTGTCATTCAGTAGTCATGGAAGATTCAGGTTAATTTTAGGATGGTTAATGTAGAATTAATGTAGAATGGAACTTCATGTTCCATTTGAGTAAATTTGCAGAGTTCTAGACATACTTTGTGGAGACATTAGTGCATTGATTCGAAGGAGAATTTTGATAGTGCAATCTCACATTTACTTTTCCTTAAGTAACCTTCATTAGCTCACCTCATAATGTTCCCTGTTTGCTAATCTGTGAGACAAGAATTCTCCGAATGTGTATCTTTCTGAGACAAAGTGAATGGGGTAATAACTTTTATTGGACCAGCTTCTCTCTCTCATATTCTTGCATAATAATGGAGTTTGTGAAAATAAGTAAAAAATAAAGAGGCAGATTCATGTCCTAAAGTATTTAATAATAGGGTCACATGCTAGGTTGTGTACATTTAGTAAAATGAACAGCAGACAAATCTCTGGTTTCAGACACTGTCTGTCAGTGTAGTTAATTGGGGCAGAAGACATTGGAAAACCTAAGTTGTACTGTTTTACCAACAAGATCAACTGTTTAAGGAAAGCAATGTCAGGAGGCAGTGGGGAGGGCAGACACTCGCTGAGAATTGGGGCAAAGGGATGAGAGGGGGAGCAAGGGCAGTTCCATAGCCTACTCCAGACTGGATAGGGGAAGAGTTTTTATTTCTGGTCCTATGGCAGTTCCTTGGTCGCTGGTGCCCTGTGTTTCCACATTCCATCGGCGGCTGGTCTCCTGTATGCTGATGCACCCTGCCTAGATGCTGGTGCCCTGTCTCCCACTCCATCTTGGTGGCACACACATGTGCTCCTGGGCCTAGTGTCTCCTCTAGGACCCTTGATGGCCCAAAGACTGACCTGGCTTGGCCAGGGAGTCACATGAGCAGCCAGCTCCCCCAGCCAGCTCAGGGCATAAGCTGTATCACCCCGTGTGGTCGCTGCCCACCAACCCTGGATGCCACAGCCTCTACAGCTAGTCAAGTGAAATAAAAGAGGAAGAGGATAATTGTTCCTACATACTCCCCAACAGGTGGTGGGCCTGATCCCATGCCCCATGGCAGCCAGTCCAGCTCTTCTTCCAGGCCCACTCTTATTTTCCCCTTCCCTCCTGTTGTGTGCAAGGGGTTAGAAACACACCGGGATTCTGCTCTTGCCTCTATGAGGTATTGTGTGGCAGAAGACATGGCAGGACAGAAACATACATCAGCCCCTACAATATTTCCATTGTGGTGGTACTAGTGCCTCGTTGACTTCCCTGTTCCATCGCTCCTGATGATAGAAACAAGTACAAGTTCACCTGATCTGCTTCCTGTCATTTATAGATTTCAAATAATGATGATACCTAACGTTTTTGATTTTACTTTAAAAGAATGCTAACAGTTTAATTTGATATTTAGTTAGTGCTGAACCTGTTGACTAGTCCTTTCACAGTAAGGATTTTGAGATCATTTGCTTTCCTCTTCTTTATATTTTATGCCATGCCCTTCCCATCTATAGTTCAAATGCTATTCAGCACCTTCCTTTGTTTCAGTAGTAAATGAATTGTAGCTGCAGCTGTCTCACCAATCGTCATGCTCTTTGGCTGGCTGGCAGACAATGCTATTCTGACATACTGATGTAAAAGATGTCGAACTGCTGTAGCATTATGGTCACCCAAATCATTTGTTCGGCTCCCGTGATAGAGTTTATTAGGCAAATCTTCACATTTTTTCCTCATTGTAAGCTTAATTTTTTTCTTTAAAAATAAAAGGCAAACTGGGTGCATATATTATGTCACAGATTACAGTATATTCATTTTACCTTTTATAATTTCCCTGAAATTAAATGGTGATTGTGTACTGTTTTTTAAACCCAATTTTGCCACTTTCACAATCTCCATACTACTTGGGGCTACATAATTCATTTGTGATTTTGAAAACTTTGAAACACATAAAGATAGGTACTAGGCGTAAATATCATCAACCAATTGTTAAAGTATAATGCTGTGTCCCCTAAGTGCCCATTCATAGTTTCATCCCACATTATTTTAGTACTGGGGTCAAAATAAACAAATGAAAACTCTTTGAACTGATTAATATTTATCCAAACAGTTTCAGCATGAAGGATCCAATTGCACCTTCAGTTATATCTGTGCAACCCCATTGCCAGCAACAGGATTGCGTGGATGTAAATTGAGGACAGAAATTGTTTAGAAAAATATCTGAATAAACTTACGGATTTTAATTTTGAGGTTCCATACAGTACATTCTGCTATTTCAAAGTGTATGCAGTTTTTGCACTGTTGCTGTTCACTGAAGAGGAAAGTACTTTTTAAAACTTCATATAATGATATCCTTGATCCAAAACATGAAAATGTTGCTTTTTCATTTATTTGTAAATTGTTATAATCCTCATATAATCCTCAGTTAAGCATAGAAAATTGTGTAATTTATGAGGACAATGTATTAAAATACGAATACCCTCTTGCATTTTTTCTTGAACAGAGAGTAAAAAATAGATCACTGGAGGATGTGGTTATGCTAAATGTTGACACAAACACTCTAGAAAACCCATTTAATGACCTGAACAACCTACCTAGTGAAGTGGTAAGTCTGATGGGTATTTCATGTTGTTGTTGTTTTTTTCTTTTCTAGTAGCTTGAATTACTAATAGTGATTTTTGCCTGCTTTTGCTAACTGAAATAAAAGGAATAAGGAAAAAAAGTACCAGCTGTGGCCCCATATTTAAGATTTTAACTTTTTTTGACAGTTGAGGAGATGTTGAATGGAACATCATATTCCTTATTGTAAAAGCAGGATCATAATTATAAAGCTAGCTGCATTCATTAGGCATTGCTGCTTTAAACGCAAGAGTCTCTTCATCTCATCTTAATCATTATATTACAAAGTAGGCATTTCTGTCTGCCTAGTGGCATGTCTTGCAAAAGAACGAGAGAGTTTTTGAAGGCAAAAAGAAGAAGGGGGCCAATTATCGGCTTCTGCTTCCCTGCCACCTGCCAGCACTTTTCCTTTTAATTAATGATCTGATGGCACTGGTCAATATAATAAGAAATGCTTGTACAGTTGGGGTCAGAAAATTCAGGCTTTGATCAACTTCAACTTTCTGAAACATTTATTTGTTTTCTCTAAATTATTTCAGTTTTATTTTAATCTCTTCTATCCTGCTGAGGGTCGCATGAATGAAAACCTACACTGTTTGTCATTTGCTCTGGCAGAGCAAAGACTGCTTACTTAGAATTCTATTTGTAAATTAAACTGCTAACCCAGTTTGTCATAAAAGACATCTGATCCTTTTGAAATGACGAAAACTGTCTTTTGTCTGTAAAGGATGATAAATTAAGTGCCAGTTCTTTTTGGACTTTGATCTTGCAAAGATTTTTTTTTCCCCTGCTGCTTATAATGGAACATATTCTGTATTTCATGTTAAATACTCTCAAAAATGCATTACACTTACCTTGCTATTCCTTAATATAGTGCTGAAAGGATACCCTTTTGATACCAATGTGTGTATTTCAGGTTTTAGATATTCAAGATATAATAGTAGTATGCTATTTTAAATGTGTGTCAACAAAAAGTATTTTATAGAAGGGAGTGAAATCAAATAGTAGCCTGTTTCCAAAATAGCAATCTTTTTAAAACTCAGTATTTTAACCAAACTAAGGCACTACAGTGACTGATGAGCCCTATCTTTCTCTCAGTGGTAATTTGTCTGAGTACAAATGTAACAGAAAGCAAAATCCCGATGCATACATTAATGGTCACAGATAGTTTATTTTAATATTATTACTTTCTTAACTTTTTTGAGATAATGAAGGCATAGTTTGACCAGATAAAGTGTCAAATACAGCAATCTCCAAGATCTAATAAAAGAATTTGATATTGTTTATATTTCATCTGATTGTGGTATATTTGTCAGTCATTTAAAATGTATTGTATTTTTTATAAGAATAACAAGTTAAATAAAAAACTACCAGTCATTCGTTGTTGTGTCAGTAAGTCGGGCTGACTTTGCATTAAGTGAAAAATGTTATTTTGTTGAGGTTAGAATATATGCCATAAAGCATATGTCCTTTGTGACGTGATAGTTAGATGTGAAATTCAGAATTAAGCGTAATCTTCAGTTATAGACCAGTATTGTAAGTGACAATGATTTCAAATTGTAAAAAAGGAGTGCACACATTGAAGGAAATCTGTTTGTTTTTAAACATGCTTATCAAAATACTCTGATTAGGCAGGCTGGATTGAAATAAAATTAGTGAACACAAACTCCCATACTTTTAGAGGTATGCTGTCCCCCAGGATGTGTGCGTGTAAGTGCTGTTAATGTTAATAAGGGTTACCCAGGCACATAGAGTGCACAATGGACTTTTTATAAAATACAACATTCCATATACAGTATGGAACAAAACAGGGAAACTGTGTTTTTATAGATGTCTCACTTGCCAGATTTTATTGGAACATATTTTTCTGGATGAAACAAGTTTTAGTAGGTTACTTTATATTTTGTTTGAGTCTCCCCATCTCTTTCTGACTTGAGCAGTGAAACAGTTTTCTGTGTGGAACTAATTTGTTAATTAAAAACACGTACAAATGTGAGTGAAAAATCCTAAACAAAGGGTACAGACAGTATACAGATTTGGGCATATAACATGACCGGGGAGAGCAAACTGTCTTTCATTCGTAAGAGAAATTACAATTGCTAATATATGGATTTTGATATTTCAAGTATATTATAAACAATATAGAACAAAAATGATAGATCAAATTGAAAAGATCACAGCATATATTTGCAGATGTAAAACATATAAATACATATAAATAAAACCCACAAATGTACAGACAAGGGTAATAAACCTTTTGATGAAAAAATATATAATCAGGAATAGCAATTAAGAGTGTTAAACCAGAACAAACTGCTGAAAGTATAAAGGCAGCTTTAAGTTTACCATCCCCCTCCAAAAACTGATTTCAGACAAATTAACAAGCCACCATAATAAATTTAACATTTTCAAAGGATGTTCTAAAACTGTCTCTTGTGTCTAAAAGGAAATTGGATAACAGCTTTCTTAATCAATAAGCCTGAAGATAATGTTTTCAGTGGCGAGGCATATAACAGTTTAGCAAAGTCTAGTAATACGACTCTTAAAATGTTAATATTTCTTGTATTGTGAATGGATTTCTTAAAAAAATATAATATGAAATCTGAAAAAATTACTATTTGATATTATGTCTAATTCATTATAATTAACTGAGATTTAAAGGACCTTTTAAAATCATTCACTTAAGCATTTAAATTATACTTACAGGCTAAATAACTTTCTGTGCATGTGAACTCTATTATTTTGTCAGATTGACCAGTGGTCTTGACTGTTCAAAGGTCAGCGGTCACAGTTGTCCTGAATTACCAGTCCTTTTTTCATGTGGACCCTCTGCTGCGTTGCATGCTGTAATCTTCTTAATGGCTTCATTCCAATATTCACACATAATATTCTAGATTTATTGACTGTTAGAAATACTACCATGCCAGTAGCAGTTCCGCTATTCCTAAGGTATTTAAAATTGGAAAAATAAATCAATGCAAGACTTTCAGGAATCCTTTGTTTTCCTTAAGGGGGGAAAAAGCCTTCTTCCTGTCTTCTAACAAGAACACTTGTTTTTAGATTTCATCATTTCACTATAGATTTGTCTCATTTCTTTAAAGAAAAATAAGCAGCTATTTCAGTAAGAGTAAGTTTTCTAATACAATAGTCCTTAGAACACCATTTTTTCTTCTTGTAAGGCCTTATAAGTTTTCAGTGGTGGTTGAGACTCCAAGAACCTCAAAATTATAAATGCTGTGCCCAATCCAGCAGTGACTTACATACATGCTTAACTTTGTCAGTGGGACTACTCATGTACTTAAAGCTAAGCATGTTCATAAAGACTTGCAAGACTGATGTCATGTGTTTAATACCATGAGCAGTTCCATTGACCTCAGGATTGGGCCCTCTGCTTGTCTTGCTGTGTGTCAATGCTTTGCGAAATATTTATATGACTTGTGGAAAATTATGATTTCTTTAATATTTTCTGCATTTTGTTAAATAATGGTGTCAAGTACTAAAAAACTATAGAGCAACTGAAAGAGAGATGGTCTGTATAGCATTTAGAAACTACAATGCAGAACAGTACCTATATGTGTCCTTTTCATCAAGAATTATATTTTAGATACGTAAAGTAAACCTGTTTCGACACCGTAAATCCACTCCATATTTGATAAGTAGACGCTAATTTATTCAGAAAACTGAGTATTTGCTTTGAATAGTAGTTCTTGTGAATGTTGTTCCTCAAAGTACAACAGTTAGTTCTGTTGTAAAATAAAGTGTGATTAGTTCCTAACTGTGACACTGATTGCATTAGTCAGAATATTTAATTTTTTTTACTTATGAAGTGTGAGTAGAAAAATGTATTATAAAAATAATTATTAATCCATTAGAAATTCAGAATGGCTGGCTAGCAAAGTAGGCAATATTGTGAGAGCCAGTTGCTTACGTGCAGAGATTTTTACAGTCATTTGGCATCACAGTGAACCTTGGTATACGTTTAGAATTTAGAATATTAGGTTAAAAATTACAGCATTCTTTGAACCCTATTTGGTTTTGGAAATATCTACATTTAAGCAGATACCTGTCATTGTTAAAAATAAATGGATATTTAGTGTTAGATGATGAAGGGCTGAGATGTCCAAAGTCTGTGCGTAGAGAAACTCTTTTCATTAAAATAATCATCTCCATATTCTGAGGTTATCTTTTGTTTAGGTAAATTTGTTTTAATCTGCCCTCCACTTCTGTTCTTTAGCCAATCCACTTTCTCACTGCTTGTCACTTGTCTTATTCTTACAGTGGCCTGATTTAATAGGAATGCTGATTGAAACATAAGCAATTCCCACTCATACTGGAATAATATCTTGAATATCCACCTGGGAGATTTGAGAACTTTGTGCTTAGGTTTGTAGAGAAACAAACGTGATTTGTGTCAAGAGGCCTGTGACAAGTTTATTTTAGAGAATTTACAATCAAACTTTAAAGGAATACTGGATCCAGTCCGGCAGTCTCTGAAGCTCTAATCCTGCAGGCCAAATTCATGCAGGTGGTTTCTGAAATCAGTGGGACTATTCACCCAACTTTGATTCTGTAAACATTTGAGCACTTGGTTTACTTAGGTACTATGGAGTAGGGGCTATGCACATGTATAAGTGTTTGCAGGATCAAGGCCTGGGTGAGTAATCCCATTGATTTCAGAGTGACCACTTGCATGAATTTGGCCTGCAGGTTTGAAGTTTTACAGACTACAAAGATTGGATCCCGTATTCTTTTAAAGTTTGTTTGTAAATTCTCTAAAGTAAACTTGTGAAAACTTTTGTAAATTTTGGTGCAGGACTGGGTCCACAGTGAGATTAAAAATAAGCGTTTTAAACTATGTTAACAATTTAAATGATGAAAACTGAGAAAATTTTATGAATTTATTTTGCATCATTCATTCTGTTTTTACTTTTATATTTCTTTCTACTTGGGCAATAAAAAAAAACTAATCTGTTTCACTTTTATTTC